TATTAGAATATGAGTATGTTTGCATACCTGTATAGTCGTACATTGGCATTTAATAGACTAGTATTTTTAAAGATCAGTATACTAATACATGAATGTATTAGTATATGAATATGTTTGCATACCTGTATAGTCGTACATTGGTATATTCGTCCTTTGTTGTAGTAATATACCAAAATACATTGGGAACTGGTACATTTGCATATTAGTACTTTAGTTTATGAATATATTAATTTTTTTACAACTGTTTTAGTATACTACTATTTTGGCAAAGGAGTATATAAATACATAAGCATATAAATAGAAAAGTATAATAGTCTGTTGGTGTAGTAGTACAGTAGTATATTTGTTTATTAGGGTAATATAACCATGCCAACAGTGACAATTCCCTGTGAATCCAAAAATCCGAAAATCCAATATTTTCGAGGAAATGGTAGAGCGAAGTTTGGATTTTTGGATTTTCGGACAATCGTTTGTCTTTATGTCGAGTTATTTAGAGCACGTGGCTTGGTAATATGCGTAAAGTGCTAAAACGCAGGGGCCGGGTTCACCCCTGGAACCCAATTACGATAATAGCGATATTGAAAGAATATCAATGGCAACAACCCACGACAACAACTACAACAACAGCAACAGCAATGGCAATGGGAATGACAATGACCATTACAGCAATGACAATAACAAGAATAACAATAAGAATAATAACAATAATAACAACAATAACTGACAATAACAAGAATAAGAAGAATAACAGCCACAAACAACAATAACAACAACAGTAACAATAGTCTTCAATAGCAATGAGAAACTAATACCAATACTAATGATAACAACATCGTTTCCCCCACTATCGCCCCACAACGCTAGCTGTGTGAAGAGGAAGCTCTCCCGAGTATGTGTCCTTGAACTACGTGGGAAAGTTATGATTCTGGAGATGATGGACCAGGGGGTTTCCGAAAATAGGGGACCCTAGTATAGTACCCTAAATAGTAGGATCCCTATTCAAAGGACCCCAAAATAAGGTACCCCTAATTTTCGGAAACTCCCACCAACAAGCAAAACTAAAAGGTACGAAGACCGACCTGCATTCGCGAACCCCGGTGATAATCACCCGTTCGATCCTCAATACGTAAATCAAAGTCCCAGTTGCTCTTCAAAGTCCACATGACTGCGACCGGTCAGTGAATCACCACCTGCGATGCCGTTCGCTCACGTTTATCGACGGGCGATCTCAGGGAAGGCGGCCTTGTACCCGAGCTCGTTGCACAGAGCTTTAGCCCTGTCCAGACCTGAGCTGTCACGGGTCTGGCAGGGGAACATGACATACTTGCACGCACCTGTGTCGAGTGCCCTGGTTTTTGAGCCCGGCACCCACAACCCTGGCCAGCATCAGCTGAGTAAACTTGTTGGGCTTGACTTTGCCTGGGCGATAAGCGAAGGCACGAGAGTGAGGAGGAGGAGGAGGAGGAGGAGGGCCGCCTGTAGCCAGGCCAGTTAGAAATAGATAAGTAGATAAATAGATATCTGTATATATATATATATATTTATATATATATATATGTATGCATATACATATATATATATATGTATATATATATGTATGTATGTACGCTTTTGACGCAATAATGACGGGCAGCTGCGGCAGTACCCTAAGCCCAAAATGTTCGCCTACATGATGAAACCTTGAGACCAAATCCGAGACGTAGTCCTTCCGAAATAGCAAGCGTGTAGTGCAACTAACATCAAGCTTTGATCGCAGAGTTCAGACAGCATCCCCTGAGTGCTGGTCACTGCGACATGTGTCTGAAAACATCCTCTGCCTGCCTCCACCAATGGGCCACACACACTCACACCCGGACTGTGGAGGCAAAGATGGGATGTCAGGGCTTGATCTCAATTTTCGTTTCAGGTTCAAGACTCGGTTCTAAGGCCGGGGAAGTGATTTGGAAAAGTTCTCGCGGGCGCAACATGCTATGAAACTGCACCATGACATGCCTCGATATGCCCATCGACATTTCAGATTTTAAAAAAAGTCCAGATTGGCTGAATTCAAGAGTTGCTGGCAGAAACATTCACACGCCGGATGCTCAAAAAACCGTTGCAACTTCACCTCTCCATCCTCGGCTTGGACCGGATCATGGACTTCAAGAGGAAGTTGTAGGTGTACTTGGCAGCTGGTGTAGGGGTTGACGGCTTCGGGTGCGAGGCTTCGATATAAGGCTTCCGATTCTGACTTAGAGGTCGGTTTCTGACAGCCCGGTTCAAGGCAATGAGCTTACTGCCTTGAATGATGGACGCTGCGGGCTGTCGATCTGTCCATCTGCTCAGCTGTGCAGGCATGTGCCTACCTGCCCACCTACGTACTTTGTCACCTACCTGCCTACGTCCCTGCCTGCCTGCATGCATTGCTTTTTGATCGCGCTCAAACCGGCACGTCTCGACCTTTAGACTTTTCTGTTAAGCCTTACCTACGGACAATGCATGTTTATCTGTCTCTGCATCTCTGCTTGTGTACCTGGTGGTGTAACGGTATGCACTGCATACACGTCGAAATCCGCGTCTGCATCTACGCGTGCGTCCAAGCGTGCACACATGTCTGTGCATGGCGCATGCACATACATAGTTGTTACCCTACCTACCTACCTGCCTACCGACATACTTACGACGTACATGCGTACATATGTATGACACATACATTTGTGCATGGTACATACCCTCATACGAACATACATACATTGACATACATACACACGTACATACATACATACATACATACATACATACATACATACATACATACATACATACATACATACATATGTGCATGCATGCTTCCATACATGCAGAGATGCATACATGCGTGCGATCATACAAGGATACGTGCATACCGCATACATCCAAACATACGTACATACATACAGACATACCTACATGCAAAGATACATATATACTTGCATACACACATACGAACATACATACATACATACATACATACATACATACATACATACAGACAGACAGACAGACAGACAGACAGACAGACAGACCTGCGTCCATGCATGCATGCATGGCATGGACAGAGTGAGTGACTTTGTGCGTATATATAAAATGTATGCACATGCGTGTATGCGAATATAATATGTGAAAACGCACACACGCACACACACACACACACGCACACGCACGCACACACGCCATCATGGTATAAATATTCTACATATCCACATATGCGCATACATGCACATAGACACGTTATCCCCACGCTTCCCCGTGTGCTCAGGGGACGTGCGCGCATGCATGAGCATGCATCTCTACACATGCAGGCACCTACAGGTGCTATCGCCCTTTGCAGATGCACACGCGTATTGTGCATATTGTGCATGTATACACATAAATAGACATGTGTGCGTGCACAGTATATTTTGTAATTATACGAATGAAGAAGCATTCAATAACTTTAACCACGCGTCTAGTGTATAATTAGTTGAGTTGAGGAGTGGGCTTTATTCATTGCCTAGCACTCCACACTGGCACTCCAGAGTCTTCCCCCTAAATCTTCCCCTATTGAACCAACACCGTTAACGTCTCAGCCCAAACCCGTGAACCCCAACCCTCAACGCCCCCAAGCCTGAAGCTTTTCAATGAGACCCCGGCAACCGTGGGCCAAACGCCCTCTGAGAGCATCCTCAGGGCAATGAAAAGCCAAGGATAAGAGTGGGCCAAGATCATCAACAATGTTGAATGTCAATGCTGATGAACAGTTGCAGAGGGAGGACGGCAGCTACAAAAAAATAATAAGATAAAGAGGTAACACTAAAAACGTGACAACATGTTCATAATCAGGTTCCAGAAATCATGTGTATATATATGTATGTATATATATATATATTATCTTCCTTCCTTCTCACTCTGTGTCTCCCTTTTGAGAGCATGCGCCTATAGCAAGCTTGCGTGCACCCTGGTTGAAGTTCGGAGTGGTTAAATGCGGCTGCGATTGCTTAACTAGATACTGCATCGTAGCGAGAATCTAACAAACCGAAGTGCGTGCGAACCTGGAGCAAGAGGGCCGTGCAATTGTGAAAGCAAGCAGGCGTGTACAGCAGGAGTTAGTAGCAATTGGGTATTGCGACTGGGGCTACCGGCTAGAGGTTTGCAATTTGGGGACTCAGATGCCAAGAAATTCACAGACCCGGCAACTCAGCAACCTTCCCTGTTGCTGTCGTGGAGACAAGAGGCTGCAATCCCTGCTGAACGTCTATGATGCACCCAAGGGCAGAGTGATCAGCCATACTCTTCAGGGGTAGAATGTGGCGAGTCACTCGAATCCCTCCCCCCTTGCACTTCGACAACGGTCCTCGCAAACAGCTGATACTCTCGAAGACCGGGTGACTTGTTCGTTTTCGATTGCGCACCTGACAGCACGGATAAACGGAACTGCGGCTCAACTTCGGTAGAACATACGATTTGCCTGCCACGTTAAACGGACATGCAGATCAAGTATGCCAGTCCTATACCCACCGAGGCCACTACTGAAAAAATCCAGTTCGGTTTGGAATGTGTCTTAGCAAGCTTGACCCGTCATACACCCTAACGCCCGAAGCCCAACAGATATGAGAGCACTCGTCTATGCATGTGTTTGTCGATATGCGATATACACATATGCATATTCACAATCTCATACACTAGTATTTTGCAAGAGGCCTGTTCTTGCGAACCCCAAGTTTCCTGGCATGGAACAACACACGGCAGAGCTAGGCTGGCTGCGGTCATACAATAGCTTATGTATCACAGCAAGCCAGAGCCGTAGTTTTACTGTCTGCACTTGCTGTCTGCATTGAAAAACATCAACTAAACTAGCTGGCTCACGTTTGGGTTTTGCGTAGAACTGTCTTTCGCCAAGAAGATGTGGTGGTTGTACTTATATATGTACACGTGCGCATACATAATGTATATACACACACTTACTTCCTTATGTTTAGTTTGTATGCATACATATGTATATACACACACTATTTATGTTGATTCTGATATGTTTGCTTCTAAAGGTTTATACTCATGGAGTAGATGTATACAAACACACACTAACTGAAACTTCCTTCTCGGAGCTGGAGCCTGCTTTGATCGCTTCTGTGTAGGACACCACATTCGGCTTGACGCCGGTCCCTTCCTCGGAAGAGCGCCGTCCATACCACGACGGACTCAGGGCTTCGGATCTGGCAGCTGAGGAGGTGAAGACGGAGCCCATGATTTAAACTACAAGGATCTTCCCGCGCTGGATGCCTGAGAGCCTCAATTCCAGGAACCTTCGATCTCCTTCATGCTTGTGTCTGCGGCCACGAGGTGTGGTCTCGGAAGGCTAAGGGCTTCGAGACACTTCAAAGTCTCAGGAGCCGAAAAATCCCTCCACACTTACAGCCTTAAAGTTCCAAAACGCAGAACTGTTTCCGCGCTTCAAGATTGGGCACCAAGGGCCAAAACTGAGTGCCAGGCCATTCTTTCCAGCCTTAGAGCGCTTCCGTCAGAATCGCAATGCACGATCGCCCTGGTAAGACACTCGTGTTCTTGGGCGAGGTCAACCAAAGTTGGAGTCTCATGGTCATTGGGCTGCCGGTCGAAAGAGCTGAACGTTTAGGTGCACAGGCCCACAATATCCCGAAATGCAAACCATAGCCGTCACCTCCCCGGTCAGGGTCCGTGCCATCTTCTCGCCTCTCCAACGCGGCCGACTTTTGCACAGGCCGTGATCATCCTGAAGTACGTGCGCCCACTCCCCTAGTTTCAGGATCATGGTATGCAGCATCTTTCGCCGAGGAACAGCGTGTAGCTGAAGACGTCTGGCCTCGGCAAGCCGAAGGCGTTTGAACGTCCTGGCTCCAACGCAACCCGCCGAGCTGTGGCGACTGAGTTCCCTGGCTTGAAGCCATCTTGTTGCGCGATGTTGAACCACTGCTGGCGCGAGGCTTGGGATTTGGAAGACGCCGCTCGTACCGTGTGGCACTGCGTACAGGATACATCACGGTACACAAGTACAGTGAACATAGCTATGGATCGCAGATCTGTATATCCATCCAAGCATCCATGCATACATACATCTAGGTATACAGCCATACACACAGACATACATACATACATACATAAAGAAGTACGTACGTACATACATACATGGTTATGCACGGACATGAACATGATACATAATCTTTTTTTATGAAAAGTTCCTGTATACAAATTTTAGCATGCAAAGACACAGACCGAGGAAACCACAAGAGGCTAATATAGGTAATATAGGGGCCTTAATAATTAGAGTAGGGCTCCTTTCAAGGGTTCCCTTAAAGGGTTCCTTTAAAGGGATCCTTAAAGGGGTCCTTTAAAGGGATCCTTAGAGGGTTCCTTTAAAAGAGATCCTTTAAGGGATCCTTAAAGGGATCCTTTAAAGGGCTCCTTTAAAGGGTCCCTTTAAAGGGTTCCTTTTTAAAGGGATCCTTTAAAGTGATCCTTTAAAGGGATCCCGAAAGGGATCCTTAAAGGGATCCTTTAAGGACACCGAAGGCCCCGGCACCGGCCTGTGCTCGCTTGAGGTCCTTGGCGCAGAGGAGGGGAAGGCGCGCGACAGGGGTTTTCGGGGAGGCGGAAGGCCACAAAGGATACTGTAGGACTGTAGGATCTTCGGGTTTAGGGTTTAGGGCTGAGGGTGTAGGATCTTATGTTTCTATATATATATATATATATACATATATATATATATATATACATATTATGCCTCCAGTAAGTTATAGGAGATTGTATGATAGTTTGTTGTAGTATATTCCCGCAAAGGGCAGTGTCAGCGACGTGGGGCCCTGGCTTTGGCGTTGCCGCAGGCCTTGATCATAGCCTTCAATGCATATACATCTGCAGCTTCTTGTCGGTCGGTCGGCATCCACATTCCCGTCTAAGCCGTCTCAGCCGCAGGCATTGTAGGCCCAGATATTCAATCGCACCTGGGGCTGCCTGATGCACGAAGTCAGCAGGGTCTCACTTGTCCAACGAATCACTGCTTTCTAGACCCCTTGCACGGCGAGCATAGGAGCCGCTAGCACTTTGCCAATAAAGTGTTGAGGTGAAGACCCCGTTCCACGCTGCCCGACTGTGACTCAAGCCCTGAGCGAAGAGCAGCCGAGCTGCCTTCGAGACTTAGGCTTCAGGTTTTGCAATAGTCCTTTAAAATAATGCCAGTAATACTGGAAATAACAAACTATGACAATACTACCAGTAATAATGATAATAATCGCAACGCCAACCGTCAACAACAAGAACACACAGCTTCAGGGCTCATGGCTCAGCGCCCCTTTAACAGAATTTCAGGTCCCAATGCTCAACCTGGTCTTAGGCCGCCGGCTCGCGTGCCTGTCGGAACCAGCCCTCGGCACGGGGCTGGTAAAATCTCGGTTTTAACGCGGGTGTGGGGCCCTTTAAGGCTTACATATTTCCTGATTCCTTTGGAGTTTGATTAGAAGTCGAGCACCAGATTCGCTAGATTAGCCTCTGACTAGTGCCCACATCTTCATTTCAAAAACGCCAAAAGGCCAATCCATGGCAACTCTCAGTGTCACACGCTGGCACCCTCAACATCTCCGCGTTCGGCACAGGCATTCATCATCGTGGTGTAGTGAACCTGAGCTTGGGCAACTCCTGGGCAATGATGGGGTAGTCGTGAGGAGCACCGGAAAGAGTAGTCGCAGGAGTCACGGTAGCATTCAAGGTTTGGAATTCGGAGATGCCAGTGACTCATGAAGTACGCGCTGATCTTGATGACTCTCAAACCACAACCCTCTGCCGAAAAACCTGTCAGATTAGAGCCGCAACGCAACCCTAAACGGCCTCCGTCCCCGTGCGCCAGGTGGCCCCCATATTATATTATAGCGACGAGTCTGAGAGAGGGATATATCGAGGCCAATCTGCCAGGGCAAAACAGCTGAAACACTCTACCTCTCTGCCCCGCTCTCTCTCTATCTCTCTCTCTCTCTCTCCAGCTGGGGTGGCGGCCTCGTTGTTCAACTCCATACCATCCTCGCACGCATCCCAGAAATCCCCTTGCAGCCCAAAGCCCCTAACGAACCAAACCCATGCGCTTCCAGATCCATCGCCTTCGGAGCCCCGAAAGATCGGAGGCCGCGCTTGGCACCCTGAGAATCGGCCTTGGGGGAGAGGGGGGCTTTGCCGAGGCTCCGCAGTTGCAAGTCGAGTGAAGTGGGGGTTTCCGAAAATACGGGACCCTAATATAGTACCCTAAATAATAGGATCCCTATTTTTGGACCCCAAATAAGGTACCCCCAATTTTCGGAAACTCCCAAGTAGATCCTTCGCTTCGGGGCTGCAGAGCGACGGGTGGCACCGTTTTTCCTTAGTCTCGGAACACCGTAGCATGCGGTGTTTTGCTGGATGCTGTCGCGGTCGTGCCGTACCTGTAACGGCGAAAATGACAATGATGCCAACTGGCCAGCCAAGTCAAACCTGGCTGCTGAGCGACAAGCGCTTGAGGCATGAAGCTCAGGAACACGAAAATGATGTATACATCTATTGGCTAGCTCAAACACTTCATGGGCTCCCGATGCGCATCACGGCATTCAGCCCGGCGCTGCCTACTTCAAAGCCCGAATTGCTCAATGGCGGACTTGCCCGTGTAAAAACCAGCTGCGATCTGTCCGAGGGCGGCAAACATGGCGATCCTGCTTGCTTGTCAGGCATGCAGTGTGCAGGCACGGCGGAGCTATGCTACTACGGACCTCCACAAGGAGAACACTAAAGACCACTGCGACCTGCTATTGAATGTCACGGAGAGTCCCCACAACATCACAGGAAGACGCTCGACTCCGTACAGCGAAACCCCTTTCACGATCCTGCCGTTGTTGATCTCGCGGTTGCGCATCTCATCCGAGTAGTCATCCCCAACCAGAGG